TATTTTCTGATTTTAAATTATTTTTTTTCTGCATCATGTCATGTTTTGCAATAAAACTTTCCATTACGAAAGCAGTGGAAAATCTTAATATCCCAGTAACCCACTTAATCCACTTAACATCTTTCATATGTATTTACCGTCTTGTGATTCAACAGTATATAAGTGTAAATATATTATTACTAGTGTTATAAGACGTATAATTTGTTTGTTTTTTCACATGTTTTAAATCATTAAAAATATTCGATTGTGTAATACAATAAAAACTAATACAAGTGCAGAAGGGCACCTTGCCCATATGATCCGTGTCTATACTGTATTTTGTTAAATTAATCGTGGTTTACAGCAACTGTATTACATTTTTTATAATTTTCATGTAGAATTCATATGTGCAGGATTTAGAAAGTCATTATGCTGGAATATTGCAATTTACTGCAGAGTTTTCAGAGATGTTACTTCGAGAAATTCATTCAGCATAGTGAAAACATAATATAGATATGTATAGCCTACAAATAAGAAGTTAAACTATTAGAGAACCTTTGAATTATATTAAAAACTAACGAAAAGGGCTGTGTATGTTTACTAGTGCTACTCAGCAACAAAGACCATTTAGGCTATTTTATCTCTAAAAAAATATTCTCAAAGTGCAACGAGCAGCAGCCTAAAAACATACCATGTAGCTTACAGCTACGTAAAAAAATGCGTAAACTTGATACTACAAAAAAGTTCAGTTCACAGTCATTTTAATGTGCTTGGAATGTGACATTTATAATTCGGTTTATATTTTGCTTAACCAACAGACTATTCATCTGCAGAAAAAGTTCATTGTGCTCTTATCATGTCTAATAACATCCAAACACAGAAACCTAGCCTAAATAGTACCTATCTTGATAGATGATTTGCAGTGGCCTATTACGGACCATGGCCAACTTGCTCGTGAGATTTTTAAAGTAACATAACACTTTGACTGTAAAAAATAACACAAAGAATAATTACCATTTAAGCAGCTACTGTCAAGACAGAAAGGTCATGTTCCTTTTAAAATAGATCTCATTATCCTTTATAAGATCAACAATGCATGTAAACGTCACTATTTACGTAACAGCCAATTTACAGGGTTAGATTTTTAGAAATGCAGCATTGCTTTGTCATTTGCATTATTTGTAGCCAATCTGCTACGCACAACCATATGAACGAGAACGAGCCCCTAACACAGTTCAAGAATAAAAGCCAAAATGTTAGGTGTAGTGGAAAACACTTGTAGTGAAACTCACTAAAAATGTTTTCCACTACACCTAACATTACAATAGATTATATTGACAACCTTATGTAATTGATAATGCTTAGACAACTGACATCCGCAATCCGCATGTCAACTAATTCCAGCTTTAACTTTAACACGACCAATTTTTCAAAAATATGCTAGATAGTATTCGTTTTATTACATTTTTTAGGCAGCAATTTATAATATTCTTGTTCATAAAGAAAACAAAAATCTGTTGAAAATCATACATATGTAGCCTATGATATATATTTTTTACATTCCAAATAAATTATACGCCAACGAGCAACACTCGGTCCCCTAGTACTAGCCCATGGTGGAAGGAAAAAACATAGGTGTGCTATTCCCACATATTCTGACGTCACTCGGATTGCAAACAAAAGATCACCTGATTGTAACTGTCAAATTCGTATATGTATTTGTTTTGATTTGGTTGTTATTGTTTTTATTATTATAAAAACAATAACAATCCAATCAAAACAAATACATACTAATTTGACAGTTACAATCAGGTGATCTTTTGTTTGCAATCCGAGTGACGTCAGAATTTGTGGGAATAGCACACCTATGTTTTTTCCTTCCACCATGGTACTAGCCTATAAAGTGAAGTGAGGTACACCTCAATAGTGAATGTATAGCTATGCTGTAAAATTGATTAGGCCTAATATGTTTTAGACATGATGTCAGCTACTGCTAAGGTGACGTTTATAGTATCTTGTGGCATTTCGGTTGGGATTATTGGATATGTTCATATCAAGCAAATAATTGAGAGGTAAGTTAAAGTAGCTTTTAGGCAGTAGCAGCTAGTGATCAAAGGTGGTCGAAGAGATCTAAATACTTTAACATAGAAACAAATATGCTATATCAAAAATGTAGTTGATAATAAAAAGTGGAGCCTGGAGCCCTATAACTTTAATTTGAATACATATGATAGGCCTATTGTTAGTTCTTGCTAATCGTAAGTGAGTAAAGTAGTAGGAAATGTGGTGAATCACTGTTGTATTTATTATGCAAAGCATACTTCTTTTCAAGGTTGTAATTACAAACAGTAGGTAGGCCTACATCCTATATTTTTTCAAGGTTACAAGCTTTAATGATGTGTGATATTATTTTTACCAATGTGAGTTGCAATTTTAAAGCTTATGATGTAGCACAAGGGTGAATGGTAATTAAAAAGATAATTTTTTTTACATTCTACTAGTAGTAATATGCATTTTTCGCAACGTTTTGCTCCAATGTTATAGCCCCTGCTTCATGTATTGATGATTCAGCTCACGAGAATTTATTGGGAAAAGCATGTGGTCAGGTCCTTGTTTCCGAGAAACCTAACCTTCGCACCAAACATTGGGGTGTATTTATGGATTGAGTCCATTTCCCCATCCAATGAGAGCTGGATCTGAATGTGACTCACCACTGTTTTTAGATTTAAAAATTGTTATTCTATTGATATCTAATATATAAAATTCTCGTGTCACAGTGTTTGTCTGCAAACTCCTCCGGAACGACTTCACCGATCGTTATGAAATTTGGTGTGTAAATTCTGTAGGTATGCGAATCGAACGTAAACTATTTCCCGTTTCGAAATTCTTAAAAGGGCTCCGCCCCAGTGGCTCTGGAGTTTCCCATGTTAACCTTATGAGAAATGGAATTAATGAATCTTAACAGCTGTTTTAATTAAACAAGTTGGTTTTGTTCTATGATGTTCAATAGCACTAAAGTTACAAGGATTACCAACAGGGTGCAGCACTATTATTTCTTTTACATTTATGACAACAGCTAATTTGCAACCAAAAGTTGAGTGAGCGTAGCGAACGAACTTCAACCTGGAGGCGAGTTAGCGTAGCGAACGAGCTAACCTGAAGGCAAGTGAGCGCAGCGAACGAGCTCCAACCTAAAGGTGAGTGAGCGTAGCGAACGAGCTCCAACCCAAAGGTGAGTGAGCGTAGCAAACGAACTTCAACCAGGACGTGATTGAGCAATGCGAACGAGATCATCTTGAAAATTAAATGTAACTGTACTTAAATTATAAATAGTCAAAGGCAAGACAACGTCTGCCGGGTCGGTCTGTCTTAGGGGAAACCTATAACTTAGGCGATACGAAGTTCGCCGGGTCAGCTAGTTTTTATATAAAATATTAATTGTCCTAAGTAAATTAGCATTGGATTTGTATAGTTATTTCAATTTCTTCACATACAAAGAATTAATTTCTTTCTTTGTAAACCACACTGCATGAGTGAATATTATTGTGAGAATTTTAATTTTGCAGAGAAAGATTACATGAAGGCGTTTTAAAAGACATTGAAAGACAGCAGAAGCGGATGGATGAAAATATTATTGTTTTGGGACAACAAGGGGATGGACCAAATCAATATTTAGCTAAGGAAGAATAAAATATCAAGATTATGATATTTATGTAAATTGGGCTAGTTGAGTAGAGTTATGTGTATATATTTGTATATTAAACATGTTTGGCATATTTGTTAATAAATAAGATATATCTTAATCCTATACCTATAACATTTTCCTAAACTTAGGAGAACAACTAAAAACTGTCTATTTTAATATGGCATGCAATAATTCTTGTCTGGCATTAAATTGACGCATGCAAACCTTGAAAATTTTAGATGCCAGTTGTCTAAGGTTGTTAAAACTGAATAATAATCTCTCTAACTAATGGGAAGATATTGTTTAAAGATTTAAAATTACACTGACATTTTATGTTGTTGCATTATTAACATTTATGATACCTAATCTTAATGACTCCATAATGTCTGCAGATTTAAAACCAAAACTGCCAAAAATTCAATTTTAAAACTTTTGAATCTCGAAACTCGCCAATCGAATCTTGAAACTGAAACTTTTCATAAGTTTTGATGGTTTTGAGATTCGGTTTTCACACATCACTATCACATAATATAAGTGTGGTAAAATCCCACAATCATTCCTTAGATAAAGAGTGAAAAAAATACCAATAAATTCAAATTCTTCACAAATTGATTGTACTTCCTACTCTCCCAAAGTGATGGATAACTTAAACTGGCTTCACACCTGTCTTGTTGTGACTGTTTTTATATGGATTAAAATTTCTTTAAGAATGTACAAAACGTGCCAATTAAAACAAAAAAAATAATATTCTGAATTATTGCTTCTAAGCAAGAAATCTACAACCCTTAAAAGACTTGGAGATAATGTTCCTGCAATTTAAGAACTATTGGTAGACTATAATGTCAACCCTTATAAAAGTTGTGTGGTGAAATGCAAACAAATCTTAACTCTTCAAAATGTTAGGCTGCAAGATGTATCACCTGATACATTAGCTTAAAGAACATCTTGGTATTATTTTGTACATCTTGAGTATGAGTAACGCTCCTTTCACACTATACGATTTACATTTTTTCGGTTTTTAGTAGTGTTAAGAAGAGAGCTTGCATGATCTACACTACACAGTAATAGCGATGGCAGAATTGATTGAAATAAATACAAACTTTTATACTGATCAGTTTTTAATCAAAGGGAGCCCACCAGCCAAAGCAGCAACTAGATCAATTGTTGCCATTAATCATTTACAATCTGACCTGTCAATTGGATTTTATTTATGTTTATTGTGACGTTAACAAATTCTGAAACATAGAAACGGCGTAAAATGGTACTGTTTTCAACCGGACGGCAAAAAAATAACGTACAGTGTGAAAGAAACGTAACATAGTTGAGAAAGAATATGTTTCTTTTGGTAAATAAAACATAGACAAGTATTTTGATTCATCTCAGATTTATTTTCTTACTTGCTAGACAGCTGTAATCTTTGTTTTGGATATTGCTTGACAAAGCTCTTTTCACTCCTGGAAAGAAGAAAACCCCTGTTAAACATAATCAGCTCAAGTCAGGCACAAATTTACTAAAGATAGTTTAAGAATTGTTTTAAAATGAGTTTGACTAATACTTTAAATTTTTTAAATTTTAACCATCCCAATGACCAAGTTCATTAGGGTGTCCCACATAAGGTGTCTCAAATTGATTATGGAAAAACGGCTTAACGTACAAGGATGAAGTAAAATTATTTCCCGCTAAATCGACCCCAAGGAATAACGTAAAAATATATTTGAATATATATAAATATACTTTCGATACAGGGTGTGCCAAAACTGAGGGTCACTAGTTCGAATCTCGGAATTTTCAAATGTAAACATATGTCATGTTGTATATCATTTTAAAGGTATTTAATAGAAATAGACTAATATTTTGGCGAAAACAGAAACCAATTATCCTTTTCTGTTTCAAAATGGTGGCAGTTTATTTGGAAAAAATCAATATGTTTTTAATACTCTGTGTTTCCTATACCAATGCACTTAGCTCTTCTCCGGTCAAATTTTCTTACTTGTTATGAAATTAGCTTTACAGTACTGTGGTATGCTACAACTAACATTTTTTAAATAATAAAAATTTAAAAAAATTAATTTTTTTAAAGTTCGCAAATGCCCACTGTTCAAAATTTTCAAATAGCAACATAGGTCAAGTGGCACATTGTTTTATAGGTTTTTTAAATTCTTAACAACTTTGTATTTTACACTTACTTCGTATCTCTTTTAATTTTTGTGTAAAATAACAAAAAAACCTAATTTCTCCATATCAAATGCATGATATTTGGGCCCTAAATTGTTGCTATTTGAAAACATTAAATAATGGGCATTTGCAAATTTTCAAAAATCAATTTTTTTTTTAATTTTTACTATTTCACAAAATTGTTACTTAGAGCATATCACAGTAAAGATTATTTTATAACGAGTAAAAAAATTCAACTGGAGAGGGGCTAAGTGCATTGGTACAGTAGAGTCCCGCAAACTCGGCACTCGATAACCCGGCAGTCTGGATAACTCGGCCATCACCTGGCTCAGAAAATTAGTGATTTTTGGGTCTGAGTTAAACATGGACTCAAGCCAGCTCAAGTCAAATCATTCACAACTCGTACCAAGGATTTGATGTACTATATCTGATGACTTAATACTGACTTGTAAAATAAATATAAATAAAAAAGGCAATCAAAAAGCTTAAAAATTGTATTGTTCTTATTTTTAACCCTAGTTTCTGTTAACCCGGCATTTCACAAACTCGGCACCCTTCCAGTCCACATTACGCCGAGTTTGCGGGACTCTACTGTATAGGAAACACAGAGTATTAAAAACATATTGATTTTTCCAAATAAACTGCTGCCATTTTTAAACAGAAAAAGATCATTCATTTCTGTTTTCTCTAAATATGTTTTCTCTAAATGTTTCTATTAAATACCTTTAAAATGATGTAAAACATGACATATGTTTACATTTGAAAATTCTGAGATTTGAACTAGTGACCCTCAGTTTTTGGCACACCCTATATCGGAAAAAAGTTAAAAATATTTTTATATCCACCATAAGAAAAGCATGGGAACTGAAAAATGTCTGCATTCTAACCAGCTGTTACTCATTTATTTGCAATGTTTGCATTTATTCCGAAAGTCAATGTTGTTAAATAATGTTTAAGAAATCCACAAGCTGGTTTACAACCTGCCTTTAGGAAAACGCTGGAAAATTATATGAGTGTTGTTTCTACCTATCTAGGTCCTCTTAACAGCACTTACATGCATTGTGGTGCATTTCACTTCGCAGAGGAGGCTACAAATGGACATTTCGACGCATGTTGCCACAATAGACTCATTAACATGTCACAAGCACAAGTAAATGACAAACAAAAATAACTGTTTTTACATGATTCTAACCTCATAAAAACATAAGGCAATACAACAGTGCAATGACTTTTGCGTCACTTTCTGCTACACAAAAAGAGATTTTGGGAAATGGGCCTTAATGTTTTAAAATTCTGGGACAAATTCATAGATATATTTCTGACTTACTACCCCGAAACGGAGAGTTGCCTTCATATGGACTCCAACGGAAGGAAAACCAAGATATAAAACAATAGATACTGTCAAAGTTATCAATCGTACTTTCTGTTAACCCGTATGCACAATCTTACAAAAAAGCATCGGATGTGATTGTAAGTCAGGAGCAAAACCACGACAGGCCAATGAAACCTAGTTTAACCCATTGGGGAAGGAATTAATGCGCTACCTGCAGCACCCTCTGGCGGCAATTAATTTTACCGAATTTGTAAACTTTTACTCTAACTGCTATAGAAAGAATACCTTAGGTAATAAATTAATAATTCTTTCACCATTTTGTTCACAGTAAAATTGTCTACAGAAAAGTGGTAATTGGATAGTCAAAGTTCTAAACTAAAAAAATATATATATAAAGATTATAAAAATACAAATTTTAAAACAATATTTTGAACACTACTATTATAAAGTTCAATCGATTCCCTACGTAGAAAAATTAAAAGTTGTGTACTTTTATAAGTAATAACATTTTTTTTTTATTGTTTGTTTACCTTACCGCAGCTGATTTTCGGTGATATGTGGTTTCCATGGCAACACAAAATTCTTTGTTATTCGCTAAAATAAATGAGTAAATACGCAAATCAAGAAGCAAGATATTTATAAACATTATAATAGTAAGAAGAAACAAAAAGGGCAAAAATAATAATAACTAATTAACTAATGGCGCTGCCTAACGGTGACACGAGCGGCACTCGTAAGTCGGCGCCAATGGGTTAAACAATGTTTATGCAGACAAAAGAAATAAAAACTCAAGGAACTGTTAGCAGTTTCCAAAACTTTTTAAACAACATATTAAGTAAGTATTTCAAAAACAAACACAACATTTTTTCACATTGGAAGTTGACATTTTTGTTCAAATCATTCTAGACATTAAAACATTTTTATTTACAAAATGTTCATCAATATTAGAATATTAACTATGTTCTTTTCCAATGTAGAGAAATTGCTTGGGAGTGATAAAAGTGTACCAATCATTTGTGTGAGAAATTATATTCACCTGAACGGACCTTTTAAAAGTTTATTTATTATGTCAATTGTTTCTTGTTGTTCTCCTGGCTGTTCACTCACTCGATTCACCCTTCTTGGTTCCAACTCCAAGTCTTGGTCGTTCCATCAAGTCGAGGTGATGTACAGTCCAGTCAAGCAGGCTTATGTATAATGTAATACCTAAAATAACAAATAATTGGATTAGTTTATAAATAGTTTTCAAACACTAATAAGAGCACTAGCTGAGAGATTGTCAGAAAAATGGGTTAAGCCTTACAGCCTCTGGTAGTTAAGGGGAGTCGCTACTGAAAAACTACCAATTTTGTAAAAAACTTGATTTTTTTATTATTTTTTTATCTTGTTCTATGGATTGTAAGGTTTCAGAAAAACATAACATTTGGTATAATATATATTTTTGTCACTGTGAAAAAAATATTTGAAGTGAAGCGCGCACACCTCTTTTGGGGCATCAACTAGGCCTAGTATAAACCAACGTATAAACTTCAACCGCTGTTTTCCGCGACTTTAAAATTTTTTTTTTTTTTTATATATAAGCTCTTATAACTTTTTAAATATTACAGCTATATGAATGAAATTTTTACCACACATTGTTTATACTATAAATCAACTTTCTGTGCATGGATATTGTTATTGGGTAAATAAAAGTACATGAAAAAAAATTTATAAAAATTTATAACCTATAAATTTTTCAAAAACTTATTTTTGAAGCCATAACTTATAAACTAATTGAGAAAATAACATGAGTATGCACAGAAAGTATGTGCTTTCCTTGCTCTTTAAAATAAGATATCGAACAATAAAATTGGTTCAGTAGTTAAATAGTTATAAAAACTCCAAAAAGTATGTAAATTTTTTTTTTTTTTACTTTAACGGCAGTAAATCTTTTTCTAAGACTAAATGAACTTAAAAAAGTATATATGATAATTTTTAAAAGGATTTTATTAAAAATCACTAGTTTCAGTAGCGACTCCCCAATTGGATCAGAACGAGACCGACTTGCTCAATTTTAAGGGCAACAAGTATGTGCCTGAGAAGATCTCGAAAAAAATGGAGATCTGCTCGAGAATTCGAAGATGGGGCAGGCATCCAACATATTTATTGAAAGAATCAAAATTTTTAGCAATATCTGTAAATTTAGATTTATTTGTCTTGTAATTATCTATATTAAATTATCTTACGTTTATAAATAACCGAGGAGGTGATACATTCAATGGAGTTTTTTTTATTGCAAAAAATGTATTAAGCATGGACTTTATGATAAATTGACCAATTTGGAACTAATAACTAATAATTTGAAATAAAATGGCACTACTTAGCTACAAAACGTGTGAATATTGGCAATTTTGTAAGAACATTTCTTAAAGTAAAATAATAATTATACTATGCAGTTAAAATATTGTCATAGTCAAAACTTTGGCACACAATTTTCCTTTCTAAGTAAGCAACACAGATGTTGTTATTTACATTTTCCTTGCCTATGAGACCTATCCATTCTTTAATTTTGTTCTGTCGGTAGATAAACCAAAATTTGTATGTAAACTACAAAAAATTGTATTATTATCGGTGGTTAGTCGAATATCCACAGGTCTAGGTCTAGGTCTTTATGACGGAGAGCTACTTTAACCAATGATTTGGTCACTTCTCAAAAGAAACCACTATAATAACTTGCCCAGTAGATTTCTGTTCAGGAGAATCTCTACAAACTTATCAAAAGAGCTGGATAAGTCACCTAGCTCTAAAATTTACAAAAAATATTTTCACAAATAACTTTTTGAGAAATATTAAACTGTTCAACTGCCTTTGGTTTAGGCATTGTCAGTTAATTCGACGGAAGATTTCAAGTGATAGGCCAATGAAACCTAGTTTAAACAATGCAGACAAAAAATTAAAATCTCAGGGAACTGTTAGCAGTTTCCAAATCTTATTAACACGTTCAGTGCTAGGGGCGGGAATTCACGCTGCGCGGTACCGGCACCACTGGTGCGGGCGGGAAACATCGTCCTTCTCCAATGCCAACAACCTTGCTTCAATGTGAGCTCAGCCATTGTCGGGGAACGGTATAATTGTTGCCAGTCTGTAGCTCAGAATATAAGCTTTAGTCTGGTGTAGGTTGGTACTAAAATTTCCCGTAAAATCCAGTCTGGCAATGCTTTTGTCCCGGTTCCGGCAATTTTCTCTTTTCGAGCCACTTTACAAAGACGCTGGCTACGGATCCAGGCAGTGCTGCTACCTTTGGGTGTTTCAGTGAACTACGTCCACTCTCGGGCTAACGCAGCACAATCACCGCTGCTCTTTTTTTATTCGTCAGACTGAAATATTTGAATGCCAATTGTGTTCACCAATTCAGTTGCACAGCGGGACTTCGCCCGGGCCTTGCCGCCATTGGCGAGCGCCTATTTGAAGGTATGCCGCACTGAATGTGTTAAACAACATATTAAGTAAGTATTTCAAAATCAAACGCAAACTTTTTTTCACATTGGAAATTGATATTTTTGTTCAAATCATTCTAGAAATTAAAACATTTTTATTTACAAAATGGTCATCAATATTAGAATATTAACTATGTTCTTTTCCAATGTGGGAGAAATTGCTTGGGGGTGATAAAAGTGGACTAGTCATTTGTGTGAGAAATTATATTCACCTGAACGGACCTTTTAAAAGTTTTTTATTATATCAATTGTTTCTTGTTGTTCTCCTTTCTGTTCACTCGATTCACCCTTCTTGGTTCCAACTCCAAGTCTTGGTCGTTCCACCAAGTCAAGGTGATGTACAGTCCAGTCAAGCAGGCTTGATGTATAATGTAATACCTAAAATAACAAATAATTGGATTAGTTTATAAACAACCGAGGAGGTGATACATTCAATGGAGGTTTTTTAATTGCAAAAAATTTATAGAGCATGAACTTTATGATAAATTGACCAATTTGGAACTAATAACTAATAATTTGGAAAAATTGCACTACTTAGCTATAAAACGCGTGAATATTGGCAATTTTGTCAGAACATTTCTTAAAGTAAAATAATAATAATACTATGCAGTTAAAATATTGTCATAGTCAAAACTTTGGCACACAATTTTTCTTTCTAAGTAACATTTTGCTTTATTATGACCAGATTTTCAGTCAGTAAACCCTTCTATCCTGAATAAGCGTATTACAAGGTCTGCAATTAGATCCACATTTGGAACAGTTCTAGATGCAACACAGATGTTGATATTTATATTTTCCTTGCCTAGGAGACCTATCCTTTCTTTAATTTTGTTCTGTCGGTAGATAAACCAAAATTTTAATGTAAACTACAAAAAATTTGATTATGATTGGTGGTTAGTAGAATATAAACCTAGGTCTTTACAATAGAGATCCACTTTAACCATTGGATCAGCAGTGCTCCTGTTGGTTATATTATAGACAAAGAATTAAAACATTTTTTTATAACTAATATTGCATAATCAATTCTCTGAACACATTCCACTACATCAAAGCCCATACCTGATGAATGACAAGCCTACCTCATTCTGACGCTATCTATCCTTCAAGAACCTCACCTCTTCTAATCTCCTATCTTCCTGAAAATCCTTCCACCTTTCCTTCCTCAACCTCCTCTGCTTTTGGTCTCCTTCCTACTGGCCACCTTTTACCTTGTTTCCTTCTAAAAACCTTTCAACAAGTAACAGCAGCATAGATCTACATTATAGCATTTCCTAAAAATCCTTTGAGCCCCTCATAAAAATCCATCCATGAAATATTCACGAAACATGTCCTTTTAATCTTAACCTAGACCCAAACCCTCAAAATCCTTTTTCATAGTCTTTTTAGTATAATTTTTTTTTTCAAAATTCATTTTTTCAAGAGTGACAATATATAGTCACATTAGGTAGAATCTGCCTCATCAAAATATCTCCAACAATGCTTAATTCCAATACAAGACTTATAGGAACTTCTTTAATTCACCCTTAATTCTCAAGCTCTTTCCTATATTTTATTATGACCATGGATTTGCCTCGTATTACTATAAAAACCAATTCTTCATTCCATTGTATGTAATCTAACCCAAGGCATTGTCGCATCAGAGCAAATAAAAGGTTGATCCTTTAAAATTGTATCAATGTTATCTGAAAACTACAACTTGTGTTTCAAGTTTTGCATCGTAATATACCTCACAATTACACTAAACAGTTCAGTTTTAAAAATATATGCAATAGAAAATGGTAAGATTAAATTAACTGTTGAGCATTGCCCACTAGCCAGAAATTAATTTAAGTCAGTTTTTTTTTTTGTCCTAAGACGCTAGGCACGAGTCCGGAATTGTTTTTCACATTACTTCAGGCTAGACCTAGGGGTTACTGCATTATCACTTAGACAAAATCCATTGGTGATTTGGCGGGATTTGAACCCGGGACCCCAGGAACCGTAGTCCCGCGCTCTAACCACTAGACCAGCTCGCTCCCCTTAATTTAAGTCAGTAAGAGTGCCAACTAGTGTTAAAGAATGCAATAATAGCAACCTATTTATAGGCCTACTAAAAAAAAAAAAAATCTAAATTTTATTTTTGCTGTTGAATGGCGAGTATAGGTCACCAGGCACCATTTTCCCCGACTGATCTAATGGCAAACCATACTTGGCGAAAAATGGGACAAAAATTTGACCTCAAAGGGTTAAGGAAGGTTTTGAAAAATTGTGTTACATGTAGAACACAAGTAGAATTAGCATTGCCAAAATATTTAGTGTAACGAAGACCATTTAAATCCACTTCCATAGGGAAGAGAAATCAAAATTTAAGTAATCACTTGTGTCAAGAACCCCAGATGTACTGATTTCAAATAGACAAAAAAATTTGTAATAATCTTGTTAAATACCACAATCAATGTATCATTGTGAGTACTCTAAAAAGCAATCGAATACAGACCAATTAAAATCCTTCATACTCCATAATATTCCTGGCTGTTACTTTATAGTGTATGAAACAATTCACCTTGTGGTAATAGTGCCAACTGTAAGTATACACCTTATTGGACTGTTATATCCGCACAATTCCGGTTGGTTTTGATACAACTCAAAACGGGGATACCAATTTTAATACCTGGTTAAAATAGTTTTAATGTTCGTTGTATCATCAATATTTGAATAATACTTTGTAAAGTGAATCCATTATTTATCACTCACGAGCTTGGGATATTTTACAATTAGTTTTATGAACAATGCTAACTGTTGTATCAGGTATTGTATTTAAGGTTTTATTTAGGGATGGACGAGATTGGATTTTTAGTTCGAGACGAGACGAGACGAGATTTTTTATTTCTCATAAAATTTCGAGACGAGATTTCTCTTCTCATACACAACGGGAAATGTACGTTCGAAATTTTTACCTGATTTTGTAACATTGTTAGATGACTGTTTAAATACTAAAATAATGATAATAGGCAAGAATATTTACAATCTTTTATTAAATAACATCAGCATAACATTTTTTTATTAATCACGCCTAACTTATTGAAAATGCCTACGATTAGGAAACATGGTGATATCAGTTAGGATAGATTTCTACTTATCCTAAAATAAAATAAATCATAAAATAAAAGCAATATTAATTTTTATAAAATAGTTACTTGTTTTGACTTTTTTATAGTAATAAAACATTCCTCACACTGCTTACACTTAACAAAACTTCTCAAATGTTATTAAAGTAATATTATTAAAATAATGAAAGTAATATTTACATTAAAAGAATTAAAGTAATATTTACATTAAAAGAATTAATTAAATAAGAACGCCTTCGAAAAGGAAACGCAACTACAACACGCTCCTGTATTGCGGGTATTGCATTGACTTTCTGCAGGCGTTTTTAATTTTTTTTTTTTTTTTTTTTTTTTTTTTTTATTCTCGGATAAAAATCTCGTCTCATGTAACGAGATTGAAAATTTCCCGAAAATTTCCCGAAATTTCGAGACTTGACCATCCCTAGTTTTATTTCATCCTTATTTAAAAACTTCTATGGACATCTACAAAATTATATTGCAGCATGAAGATTTGTTGAAAGGTGAAATTGAGTAATGCTATTCAGAGTGATTAAAATCATTCCCAGTTCTGTAACATAATTCCTATGTTTCTACAGGGTGGCGCAGATGGATCGGGTGGTTTTAAAATACTTGTCAAACTGTAAATTTTAAAGGTATTGGATTGAAATAAAGTGCAAAACGTGTAGTTACAATGGAAGTTTATTGACAAAAAATTAGTTAAGTTAGTTTTTAAAAATTAAATCCATCAAATGCCTTCCTTCTCGAGCGACGCATTCTTGGAGTCGGTCCTTGAGGTTCCGCATTGCTCGCTCAAGCACATCACCAGGAATTGAACCATTCAGGAGTTGAAGGCTGCAATTCACAACGAAATCACATCAATTCCTGGTGATGTGCTTGAGCGGAACCTCAAGGACCGACTCCAAGAATGCGTCGCTCGAGAAGGAAGGCATTTGATGGATGTAATTTTTAAAAACTAACTTAACTAATTTTTGTCAATAAACTTCCATTGTAACTACACGTTTTGCACTTTATTTCAATCCAATACCTTTAAAATTGACAGTTTGACAAGTATTTTAAAACCACCCGATCCATCTGCGCCACCCTGTAGTTAACATAAACAAGGTAAATAACATTAAAGCGACAGCACAATCTAAAATATCATGTATCATCCTTACAAATATAATGCTATGAAAAAACAACCAGTGGCATCTGAACAAAATGAATATGTTCAGGGAGCTTTGGTGATAAAAATAACACTTATTATGTTCAAGTTTTTATCCACTACAGTACTACAGTGCTATGATCAAAGTTTCAAAAGATCTCGCTAGAAGGTTGTACCAGTAGCAAAATAAAAGGCAAAGAGTAATGTGCATTTTGGAGATGCACCATTCATAAGGTTTTAATTGTTTTATCCATTTAGTCTGCATAAAAAAATGGCTACAGTCAAATATTATACAAGTAAACAATAATATAGTTCTTTAGGAAATTAACTAGAGTAATACATAACTTTAAGTGCACATCTAATCTTGTATGCCACCTATAGTAATAGACTCTAGAGTCTTCATTGGGGAAATTTGCTAAAATAATAATAAGGATAGTCGATATTCAGTAAAAAACTACAAAATTGTACACCAATGGATCACAATCAAATAATTTTGAAAAGCTACTCTTTTTTAGTAACATTGCCAATCAGATTTTAGAGATGGACAAGTCTTGAAATTTTGGGAAATTCCAGATTTTTCAAGACTAGTTTTTTCAACAATTAGTGGGTGTTGATACCAAACTGTATCAATTCTCAATTCTTGATACTGATACCAATTTTTATAGCAAATTATTTATACCAAATTTTCTGAATAATACTATACCAACCCCTGTCTTTGTCATAAAGTAATATTATAACAATGTGGTGTTTTCAAGTAAAGAAATAATGCAGCAAATAATCGTCGTCGTCCGTGATCACAGCAAAATCATGAACATTTCCCGCGGCCTTGTAGACATCAATGACATCATCGTCGTCTCCCGAGGTCTCAGAAACGTCATCACCATCGTCCGCGATCGCGGCAAAATCATGAACATTTCCCGCGGCCGTGTAGACATCATTGTCGTCTCGCGCGGTCACGGAAACGTCATCATCGTCTCCCGCGGTCACGGAAACGTCATCGTCGTCTCCCGCGGGCACGGAAACGTCATCGTCGTCTCCCGCGGTCACGGAAACGTCATCGTCATCTCCCGCGGTCACGGAAACGTCATCGTCGTCGTCCGCGATCGCGACAAAATCAGGAACATTTCCCGCGGCCGAGCAGACATCATCGTCGTCTCCTGCGGTCACGTAAATGTCATCGTCATCTCCCTCAATCGCGGCAAAATCATGAACATTTCCCGCAGCCGAGCAGATATCATCGTCGTCTCCCGCGGTCACGGAAACGTCATCGTCGTCGTCCGCGATCGCGGCAAAATCATGAACATTTCCCGCGGCTGTTTAGACATCACCGTCATCTCCCGCGGTCAAGGAAACGTTATCATCGTCGTCGCAATCACGGCAAAATCATGAACCTTTCCCGTGGCCGTGTAGGCATCATCATCGTCTCCCGCGGTCACGGAAACGTTATCGTAATCTCCCGCTGTCACAGAAACGTCATCGTCGTCTATCGTGGTTTGGGAAACGTCATCGTCGTCGTCCACTATCGCGGCAAAATCGTGAACGTTTCCCGAGGCCCTGTAGACATCATCATTGGCTTTTGCGGTTACGTAAACGCAAGACGACGATCGCGGCAAAATCATGAAAATTCCCGACTTTGAAATCAAATTTAAGACTAAATCCCGACTTTTCAAGACCATTTTGAAATTCAATACTAATTCCCGACTTTCCCGACTACTAGACACCCTGAGTTTAACTCTATCCTAACTGATATCACCATGTTTCCTAAGCGTAAGCTTTATTTTTAATAAGTTAGGCGTAATTAATATACATTATTTGTTATACTGACGTTTGTTAATAAAAGATTTGAGATATTTTTGCCTATTATTATTATTTTTTTATTATTTAAACTAGTGATGGGCGGATCCAAGAAAATGTCGGTACCGGATCCGGATCTTGAAAAAATCGGATCCGGATCTTCGGATCCAAATACAAATACATTTTTTTCTTTTTTCAAGGGTGGGTTTTTAAGTAAAATAATTCATATGGCTAGGCAATGTCAAAGACTAATTGTGTCCATATAAAAACACTTATGTGGTGTTATTGAAATCAAAGTCATCACAATTCTACGATGATTATCTGATTATCGATCGATACGAAAGAGACAAACTACCACCTATCGCGTTGTCTTTCTAACACAGCTATTTGTATCATAATCTACAACGCAGTGCGAGAGCGTGATTGGCTAGTCGCTATGACGACACACGGTTGCCGTGACAACCTACAGTGCGCACTGAGTACTGCGCCTTTTGTGGGAGGGAAGATTATACCAACAAACTATTTCAGGAATTCCATTTTGGGACGGATGAAAGATAAGTAAGAAACAAAAAGTGGTCACGTGTGTAAAATGTATTGGGCAAGACAATAAGGCTATAAAGAGTATTGTCACGTCGTTGTTCCTTGTTCGTTTACTTTTTCAGATTCCCTATCAAATGCCCCTATCTGCTATCTCTCTCTCTCTCCCCCTCTCTCTCTAACGATGTACTGATTAAACAGATTGTGGTTGACGACTTTTCTACTTCCCTGCGGTTATTTTAGTTCAATCAATCCCACAACCTTTCTATTGCTTATCAAAATAATTAATTAATCTGTTTTGTATTTTATTTCCTTTGAACCAACCCCTATTTACCATCTGTATTTTATAGAATAAAATGTTTGTTTATAAAGTTTAACTGGCCACACAATTTTGTACCTATTTTATTTTGTATGAAGTAACAGTTACTTTGATGATTATATATATCAATAAGTGCTGCGTGCTGTAATAAATGCTTTTTATTCTCAAAATAAGTAATGAATTATTAATTTTTGATAATACATGGGTCATTGAATACCATAATGTCATGTAGTTTCCTTATTTGTAACTTACAAATAATAATAATTGATAGGTAATTCTGGAAAATGAAAAATAGTGAATGCATTCATAACCCTGTTGTCAAAACAGCAACGCGGGTGTAAGGGTTTATTGTTTCAGAGGCTAGGGTGTTTCAAGGACAAAGTGCTGGGCTCAGGGGGGGAGGGGTGGTGGTGAGACTGAGAGAGAAGAGGGGGGGAGGAAACTGGTTTTGGCTATTTTATTGATTAGTTCACCGACCCTTCTAGACAACAAAATTGAGTGACAGTGACAGTGTTAAATCGCTGTTCTGTATTTCATTTCTTGTTTACTTTGTGTGTTATTCTATTAATTTTAGTGTTTTGGTCTATTTCCTCGTCGTCCCTTGCAAATTGTATTATCAATGCTAAATAATTGTGGTAAATTCAAATTATATTTTTGATTATTCAAATCTCCTACACAAAAAGATAAAAGTCAAACCAGGCAAGGAAAAAATCGGCTATTGTAATCCCCGTACCCAGCCATTTGGGAAGTGTGAAAGTCGTCTAAATATAGCTCAAAGGCTCACCCTTCCCTTCCCCCCCCCCAACCCCCTACTCAATGTTGCTCGAGGTTATTGCACAACTCCTCCCTCCCTTCTATTGTTTTGCCTTTATAGTGTTTCTATTCTGATTTTATAAACATAAATTTATTGTTTACAACAGTTCAGTAGTGGAATTTTCTATTGTGAAACAGTAGGCCTACTTTAAAACAAAATCACTACCGATCATGTCATTCTATTCTGCGTCAAGTCAGTATACCATTGCCAGTCAGTCGCCGGCGACTGTTTTGAGTTGACCTATTCTGTCGTGACAGCACTGACAGCTATAAAAATAGGTTAGGACAACTACCTCTTGCTTATTTCTATATTTGTATTCCTGTAGAATCTACAGTAATACAAATTATTCATCATTTTATGTAAACACAAGTTACATTACAAATTATTCATCATTTTATGTAAACACAAGTTACATTTCAACAAATATTGATTATTTACAATTTCAAACCAAACTGGCGAGTTCAAAGATAAGCTCGAATTTCAAGGCCGTACTCTACTGGAACTCGAAATCTCAAATACTCGCCCGTTTTGTGTTAATAGTATAAAAAAAATCGGATCCATTAAAACCGGATCCAGCCCAAGATCCGATTTTTTGTGGATCCGATCGGGTGTCGGTTCTAGCTCAGATCCGGTGGATCCGGTAGTCCGATATCCGGATCTGACCATCACTAATTTAAACAGTCATCTAACAATGTTACAAAAGCAGGTAAAAATGTCAAACGTGCATTTCCTGTTATGTATGAGAAGGAAAATCCGGTCTCAAACTTTTATGAGGAATAAAAAATCTCGTCTCGTCTCAAACTAAAAATCCAATCTTGTCCATCCCTACAGATTTTTTATGAGCACTCATTTGGCATGACATATTATTCACTTTATATTTATGTCCATGTTTAGTGATGAACATAAAAATTCTTAAGATATAAATCAGGAAGCAAGTTATACATTGTGAAAATAATCTCACAACAATCTTTGGTTCATCATCTATTTAATTGAAACCAAAACTTTCAGAACACTTTATTGAAGCTAATAGCATATGAAAAATCACACTTTCAATACAAGAGTCATAAAATACTGTTTAACATCGATTCACATACTAAGGAGAACATTAGTACTTCATTACAAACTTAATGTTATGAAAACCAACTAAATTAAATGATTTACACAAGTGGATAAAATGGAACATGAAAATCAAACTGACTTTCTGTAACAAGTGAGAATGTCTACACTGATCACTTTAAAAAAGATCACTTACATGATCATATTGAATGGCATTCAGTATCTTCCACGACGATTTAGAGGGTAAGTTGTGTCTGGAACAAATACATAGAGTTGACAATGTGGAAGTCAAGTAGAACTGTGAATAAGTTTAAGTTTCTCACCAAGATGAAGAATCTAAGTAAATGCTAAATGGGAGTGAGACTTGTGATTTCTCAAAAGTTCATAGGTATACAAGAGTATATGCTACACTAATTGTGACAGTTCAAAATAAAGTTGACTCGTTAATTTTTCTGTTAAAATACAATTATTTTAGGTGTGTACATCTTTTTTATTCATATTTAGCTTTATTTCGGGTAGGGTTTTCCACTTTTGGAGTAAAATGCCACACTTGTTAGAAAAATTCTAAAAATGTAAGACTAGTGGGGGTGGGTTGCATTCGGTTTGGATGCAGTGTGTATGTGTGTGACTGATTGTTGAGGTAACAAGAGAAACTTTGTAATTGTATCAATGGCTAAATTATTAATTTGTGCTCATGATATGTTTTTAGTATTAGAAGTTTACTGTTTGAAAGGACTGTGTTGTGAGTTAGCTTCAATGAGGAAGAATTTAGGTTAATTCAAAGAACAATTACATAGCTGTAGAGAAAGAATTTAACTTCAGAAGTATCATCTAACTGTAAAAAAAGTTGAGTAAGTAAAAATTTAGCAGCAGGATCCAAAGTGACAAAGTGATAACAGCTGAAAATTTGGACTAAACTTAAAGAAAATTAACAACGATCAGCAAATTATATCCAAAGAATTGTAAGAGAACAATTTTAAGGGACTCATTTGAAACAATTTTCATAAAATTAAGTAGGCCTACTATTAACGAGAACTGTAAATACAAAATGAACCACATAAACACCTTACCATATGGTGCACTACGACCAGAGCTGAAACTGGAGCGAATCGGACCACCTCCACCACCGAACCTATCACCTCTGTAGCCACCTAAAACACAAATATAACTGTTTATAAGGTACTTATTACTTATTGGTTGCAGCCTAGTTGATTTGCTTTATATTTATTTACTCATTAGGTTTCCTATAATGCTACAAAACAGCGGCTATGATAATTAAACTGTTGCATTGAGCATGCAGAAAAAAATGTTTATGATTTATGTCTGATTGTAAGTGAAAATTATTGTAAGAATATAATATTACTTAAAACGTCAATTCAGATCAAAATTCTGAATGGTGAAATCAGGACATGTTTCGACACATTAGTGTCGAAGTGTCGAAACATGTCCTGATTTTAACATCCAGAATTTTGAGCTAAATTGACGTAAGTAATATATTCTTACAATAATTATCTACAGCTCAGGGGCTCAACAATGAATTTATTGTAAGTGAAAAACTTATAATAACACTAGAAAAATGTATTTCTACCTATGATTAAAAAAATCTTAACACAAAAATACGTGACACAATGGTTGGTCACTTAGATTGTTACTTGTTTGGACAATTAGAAAGGGAAAGATAGCTGTGAGAAGTTGAGGGACTGCTGCAACAACAGGGAAGGTGCCTAGGCCTGGAGGGTTGAGAGAGAGACAAAGGTGACCTATACAACTGAAGATCTCTTTGCTTTCTATGTAAACCCTCTCACAAAGAGTGGATTTGTTATACCTCTGCCTCCTCGGCTAGATCTCTCGGGAGAGCCACGCCGCCACGAGTCTCCTCCTCCTCCTCCCCAACTCTTCTTGCTGGATGGACCATCGTCCCAGCGGCCACCACCACCTGTAGGTAATACAATACACTGATGAGTTAGCAGAATATTGTCTGGACGTAAAAAAGTGGCTTAGGGAATACGCTGAAAGGCACATTTGTACATTAAGACCGACAGAAATATTTTTTGGCTTAGATCAAGACAGTATAATTGAAGTTGAGTAATGTTCACTTGCTTATTGGTTATTATTGGTTTGGTAATACTTAGAGCTCTAAACTAGACAAAAAATATGTGATAAAAATAACAAAAATAAGTAGTCTCTCAGCAAGTTCATAGACCATAATGCGATCTATATAAGTTAAGTTTTTAATAAACTTCCCTGACTTTAATTTATTTTCAAAAATTTTCCCTGACTTACGTACTTTTTTAAAAACTTTCCCTAACCTTCCCTGACCCTATACCTGTTCCCCTGACTTTCCAGGTCCGTGGGAACCCTGTTATTGTACTGTACAGTAGGCAAGTAGCCTAGGCTATATGAAATAACCATAACAAGTCTAAATAACTCACCACCATATCCTCGTTCCATGCTATCTTCTCTGAACCGGCGGCTTGGCCTCTCAACCTCCCAATCATCATCTTTGCGACTGAACTCTCTGCGACTTGGTCTTTCCTCCCAGTCGTCATCATCTCTAAATCCTCCACGTCGACCTCCACTTCGATATCCAGAGTCATACCCCTCATCTCGTTGGTATCCACCCCTGTAGCCCCCACGCCCCCCTCTACCTCGTCTGCCGCCTTCATAGCTATCTCTGCCGTAGCCCCCACCATGCCTCTCATAAAACTCGTCTCCACCTCGCCCCCCCCTGCTGCCTCTTCCTCCTCTGAAGCCTCCACCACGAGATCCACCTCTGAAGCCACCTCCTGGTCCTTTCTTGATCTCATTCCATTCAACAGCCTTCTTCACAAACAGCCTGACTCCTTTGATTTCATGTTTCTTATGTACTGAAAATTAAAAATACACTAATAAGATAATATTGGTCTATGCAATTTTTCTAGCTCTAGCTCAAAGAATGGTGCTGTATGACAAAAAATATAATTCATCATAACGACATAAGTGACTAAAAAACCCTTGTTCAATTAAGTCAGTGTTAGGAGAGTTAGCATGCCACAGATCACAGCATGGTAGGGCCTATCAGTACTGCTTACCCACTACCGCTTAAAAATAAATTCGCTCTTCAATCGCATCTGGCAGTGTCCCATTCAGGCTTTAATTAAATAAAAATACAATCATCATCAGAGATTGGTTAACAATAAAATCAAACCATGCTTAGTTTAAAGTAAACCAGCAGACAAAATAAAAAAGTTAAATAAATCAGGTTAAAACCATGCACATTTGAAGGAAAAAAAAAATCAAAATGCAGTTTAAAATTCTTCAGTACTATCTATATATATAAAAGGCAAAGCCCTCACTGACTGACTGACTGACTGACTGACTGACTGACTGACTCACTCACTCATCACTAATTCTCCCACTTCCCACTTACCTAGGGGGCTGAAATTTGGTACACTGATTCTTTAGGCATTAAATAGGAAAACTAAGTGGTTTTTATTCTGATCGGACTCTCGGGCTCCGCCCCAGTGGCTCTGGAGTTTCCCATGTTAACCTAATGAGTACTCATATTTAAATGGAATTAATGAATCATAACAGCTGTTTCAATTAAACAAGTTGGTTCTGTTCTGTGATGTTCAATAGCATTAAATTTACAAGGATTACCAACAGAGTGCAGCACTATTATTTTTTTTTAATTTATGGCAACAGCTAATTTGCAACCAAAAGGTGAGTGAGCGTAGCGAATGAACTTCAACCCGGAGGCGAGTTAGCGTAGCGAACGAGCTAACCTGAAGGCAAGTGAGCGCAGCGAACGAGCTCCAACCTAAAGGTGAGTGAGCTAGCGAACGAACTTCAACCAGGACGTGTGAGCGCAGCGAACGAGCTCCAACCTAAAGGTGAGTGAGCGTAGCGAACGAACTTCAACCAGGACGTGATTGAGCCATGCGAACGAGCTCACATATGAAGTTAAACGGGGCAAAGCCCGCGGGTACAGCTAGTTCTTTATATTTAAAGAATAGTAAACAAACTTATTTGTAACTAAAGGTACGAAATACACATGGAATAGTAAGTGTGGTAGGCTACTACTTACAAATGACTTTGTCTACAGCGTCTGTATCGTCAAATTCAATAAAAGCAAATCCTCTCTTGTCGCCTGTGTCTCTGTTAAGGATAATATCACAGGAGATAATAGCTCCAAATTGACTGAAATGATCATGGAGATCTGGCTCTTCAAGATGTTTTAGCCCTCCAACAAAAAGTTTCTTAACATCCAATGCTTGTTGTGGAATATTTTCAATTTCCTGAAAAACAACAATTACCGTAATTATTATTATGAACAAAGGTACCTAAAAACTAATTAAAATCAATAACTGGTATAACTTAATATCAGTGATATTAACATCAATGCTTTTCAATTTTCTTTTAGCCTACTTAATTTTAATTTTATTTTGTAATACAATTAATTGTGTCATTAAAAACATACGTCAACCCTTTCTATGGACTAGTGCAGTAGCCCAATGGATAGTAGTATAATAAATTGGGGGGTGTATAATAGTTATGACATTAAGGAGCTAGCCTACTACAATAAAAAAAGGTTCTGTAAAAAACTAAGTTTGTAATAATAATTATCAACGGTTGATTTAAGAACAATGAATCTGCAGAGAATTTGGCTTGTCAATAATCTAATAATTAATTGATCATTAATTCAATACCTACAAATCTAATGGTGACCGTCTGTATGTTTGTTACTCAATCAAGTAAAAACTACTAAACCGCCTGGGCTTAAATTTTACAAAAAAATAGCTACTATACCAATTATCCCTTAAGAAATTATCACGCTCGGATACTGACCAAGGGTTTTGTCCCTTTGGTTTCTTAAGTTATGAGGTGAGGATTTTTATATTAAATATTGATTAGTCTCCATGGCTGCAATGAGAACACTCACAATGTTTTACATTTTGCTATGGCACAAGCAGAACTGTCAAATGCACTTTAAATCACAATTCCACACAGCAGAAAAATTAGATACCGGTATACATATAATAGAAACAGGGGCCCAAGGGGAGCATTGCTCGAGGTGTTTGATTTGTTCAAAGAGGTTAAAAAAAATACCTAAAAGCCTACAAATTAGTGATCGGTCGGTACTTAACGTCAAATGTCTGTTCCACCGGTTCTTGGGAAAAGTACCAGGACCGAGAATCATTTTTGTTGAACATTTTTTTCTTTTTCAAAATTATAATCCTCTCCCGCGTTCACAGAAACGTCATCGTCGTCACCCGCGGTCACGGAAACGTCATCTCCCGCGGTCACGGAAACGTCATCGTCGTCTCCCGTGGTCACGGATACGTCATCGTCGTCATGCGTGATCGCAACGAAATCACTAACAAATCCCACGGCCGTTTGGACATCATCGTCGTCTCCTGCGGTCACGGAAACGTTATCTTCATGCGCGATCGTGGCAAATTGAAAATTCCCAGTAAAATACAAAATTCACGCATAATTCCCGATATTCCCGGTGGGTGGACACCTGGGAAATCCGGACAAGTGGATTGGGCAAACGTTTCCGTGACCGCGGGAAACGACGATGATGTCCAAACAACCACCACCCGTGGATTGCCGGACGATTGTTCCACAATCATCCGTGGGATTTGGGATTTGTTAGTGATTTTGCTGCGATCACGCATGACGGCGATGACGTTTCGTGACTGCGGGAGCAGACGATGACGTTTCTGTGACCGCGGGAGCAGACGATGACGTTTCCGTGATTGCGGGAGATGACGATGACGTTTCCGTGACCGCGGGAGACGACAATGACGTTTTCGTGACCACGGAAAAGGATTATAATGTTTCCGTTACCTAGGCCTACCTCTGAAAAATATCAGAATTTTGTCACGACCACGAAAGACAGTGGTGATGTTTCTGTTACTGAGTGAGATATTCAGGATTTTTCAGTTATCACAGAAAACGATGATGGTGTCCCTACGACAGTGTTAAATGTTCACGATTCAACCTCGTGTTTATCTTGTCCAAAAATTACAAAATGACACACTTCTAGAAAGTTTTTTTTTTTATATTTTATAATATCTTCATTTACCTTTAACGTGGTATATGTGTTTAGAAGGGTTTAAAATTTAAATTGGCTACGTGAAATTTTTGTAATTTTTGCATTAATTATTTTTGTAGGTCACTTGAGAAACAACCTATAACTCCAAAATTACATACTATATGAAAGTACATGTAAAGACAGGGGTTGGTGTAGTAATCATTACAGAAAATTTGCTAAAATTGAAATTATCAGTATTACAAATCTATTTTTCAGGTGTCTGTACAGAGATTCCAAAAATGTTGGTACGGTATCGACATATCACTATTTTTAAGAAGTTTTTGATAAATTGCATGTTTAAGGATTAGTTTTTATTTTTCGGATTATTTAATCAGTAATATATAAAAACTGAACACTTGTGTCAGGCAATATTACAGTAATCATAAATTTTATTTCTTTAACTGAGAATGCAATGATCAAACAGTTGTTTCATCATAAATTTATTAACCACTCAATTAACTGTTAACTGTTTGATCATTGTATCGGTGGTCCAAAAAACACAGTAGGTCCTAGTGAGGGGGGAGGGTGTTTGATTATGTTGATTTGATTTGTTGTATGAGGGGGCTAAAAAAAACTCATGGGAGGGGACCCCGAAAAAAACTGTTACGCCACTGACCTTGACCAACAAATACATGCAGTCAGTTACTGTACTTTAACAGAACATCCCATCAAAATACAATTCAAAGACAAATTCCAGGTTTTCAAGGATGAAAATCTAAATTTCCAGAACAAAACTTGCCCCTAAAAAAAAAAACTTATTTATTTATTCCTGCAAGAAGTAAATTAAAGCCCCTTCTGTAACTTATGTAAAAATTTCATGCAATTGAAGCCAGATCAGTGATTATATCTTTCGATCGTGGCAAAATTTGTGATGATTTCCCCCAATCGTGGCAACATCCGTGATGCCTTCTCGCAATATCGGACATCTGTGAACATATCTAGAAATTGCCGCAAAATTAGTGATGATTATCACTGCAATTACAGCAATTCCATCATTAGTTGTGATTGCGGCATAATCCGTGATTATCTCTCGCAATCACATGATCATGTATCTACCACAGCAACATCAGTTGATCATGTCACCTTTGATTACTCCTCACGATCGTGGCAATAACTGTGATAATATATCGCACAATTCCCAGTTTCCAGGTCGACTGGATACAATGTTTGACTGATAATGATGTAGATGTATAGGCTAGCCTACATTTAGTAAAGTGGAATCTTTAATTATTTTTTTGTCAGGAAGCAGCAAAATTAATATAGGCCTAAACTGAAACTCACAGTTTTAGGAATGGCTCTTTTAGTTTCCACTTCACGTCCATCTATGGTGTGAGGACGGTGGGACATAGCTTCATCTACCATATCCGAGTGAGAATAGGTTACAAAGCCAAAACCTCTTGACCTAAAATAAAACAAAGGATGAGTCATGATTTATTCAAAATGGAGTCTTAGTTAAAAGCTTATCACAACAATTTAATTTTACCCACATAGAAAAAAGGTAATGTACAGTGGAAACATTCAATGGTAAACTTAAGTGGTGTCTAGCACTAGTGCTGGTGTCTAGGGAAAATTCCAACACCACCCCCTACGCCCTAAGGTACTCCAGTGGCGGATCCAGAGAGGGGCTATAGCCCCCCCCCCCCCTTTGGGTCTCCAATTTACACTAGATAAAATGGGTAATCTTTACTGAGAAGAATAAAAACTTATCTCAGGTCAACCATGAAAGAAGACCGATTGATCGGGATTGCACCGGCAACGGGAAATTGACAGTGTTGGGAAGTAGCGCGCTACAAGTAGCGACGCTACAGTAGCGCACTACTTTTTTTGTAGCGTTAGCTGTAGCTACGCTACTTTTAAGATTTTGTAGCTTTAGCTGTAGCTAGCTACATTTTTAAAGTAGTTGTAGCGGAATTTTAGCTACTTTTCTCGCTACATTAACATTTGTTTGAGATAGTGATTTTTATCATAACCTCAACCTTACGTGAAACAACCTCTTTCAAACTGAGATTTTCAAAAAAATTAGGCCTACTTTCTTTGCTTCAAACAGCTGGTTGCAGCCGTTTCATTCCCTATTACAACGTTGTGTGGACATGGAGGCCATTAAATGACTGTTATCCACATTGTTGGCTCTCATTTCCTTAATTTACTACTCTATGATTACTGTCAGATAAAATAAAATCGCTAGATGCAGACGACATTTAAACGGTACCGGTGACAAGAGAAGCTATTGAATTGAATGCTTGCAAGTGATTGACAGGACAGGGGAATTAGTAATCAATTTAGTTTCTTTATTATATCGATAATGCTTCAACTTGGGGTTTAATAGAAACCAACACACCTTGAAATAATGAGAAAGCTGGTCTATCAACCTTTGCTTCAGCTGTTGATTGTGGTTTATCATCACAAGCCCTTCCTTAGTTAGATTACGAAGATTTTTCAAAGGTTTACTAAATTAGCAAAGAGGAAATTACCTGATGAGATTTAAGATATGCCTAGACTACATGATAATTGTAATGAAAAATCTCCATATAACATGAAACTTACATAGAAAAAATAGCATAGTTTGCTCCTGCTAGAGGCTATGGTTTAAGACGAATACCAAGTTCAATTATTATGAATATATCTGTTTAGTCCTTGCAAGAACAAGCCTACTATAGCCAACTTGTTACATAGCCAAGTAGGCCTACATGTTATTTTTACTTTACAAATTTCATCATGTTTAAATTAAAAGCCGATTTCAGGATAAGTTGCTGAATACTGTTTTCTCTACCAACTAGGTTGAAGCACAATTTGCCCTATGCATAATGACAATAAAGGACGATTTCTTGACATTGAAAAGTGTTATTCGTAGAATAAGTAATTTATCACTTTAAAATCTATAGCAATGTTGTTTTTAACATTAAAAGTAAAGAAAGGCAATAAACTCCAATTTCAGTAGGCTAGGCTCTGTAACACAAAAAGTATTTTTAAATAATCTTTTTGCAGTTTTATTGGTCTTAATTGTTGATATAAAACATCTATAAATGAATCTATATTAAATTAATAAAATTAGCTTTTAAAATATAGTTTGGTTGTATGTCCTTTGAACTTAATGAAAATTACATTTTAAGATGCTTTAAAATAATGCAATATTTAAAAATAATTACTAAATATGATGGGACACCCAACTATTTGGTTCTGTTGTTGTAATGTTAGGTTTATAATGCCAACAAATTAAATACAATCTAGGAATAATTTGTTTTCCAAGTAATGTTAGATACAATACTGACATTTTTTAAAATGTTTGTTCAATAAAAATGTAGTTGCAATTAATTTTACATTTACCTAATGTGCGTGGAATAAAAATTAACGTCTTTGGAAAAGTAGCTAAAATTGTAGCTGTAGCTACATTTCATTGTAGTTGTAGTTGTAGCTAGCTACTTTTTCGGAACTGTAGCTGTAGCTGTAGCTAAGCTACTTTTTTGGAAATGTAGCAGTAGTTGTAGCTAGCTACATTTTAAAAGTAGCTTCCCCAACACTGGAAATCGATGTAGATAAAGTCTTAGACTACATAGTTTTAGCCAGTCAAAACCAAGACGAATGTGTTTGTCAAATTGGGCCATTCAATAACTTAAGCATTGTCCTGTTAAAAAAGTTGTAACATTAAAGTTTCTTTTGAATAGGTTTTTTGTTACAATATTACTGTCCTTTAAAAAGTCAACTTATTTCTTTGTTTTGAACTGTTACCCTTTAAATTCAGGATAAGAGTAAACTAGCTGAAACCTATACAATACTTCTGCTTTTTAGACCTTTTATAATAAATGTAATAAGTAATGCATTAATGTATTATAGAATAGAAACTTATTACATTAGGACCTAAATAAGAAGACCCTAGATAACAAGTCACTCTTGATAACAAGTGTATTTTTAAAATCCCCTTGAATTTATTTTACCTCCAAACACATGCTATTGCAAACCTCAATAAGAAGTCAACCTTGATAACCATACTTATTTTATGATACCCATGAGAGTCTTGTTATCAAGGTTCTACTGTATAAGTTAGAATAACTAAAATTGTACATAGGTACAGGTTAATTATTTTAAAAACTTAATTATTTGAAAAATAGTAATATCAGTAATAAAGGTATTTTCGTATACTTGAAATAAAAAGGTAATAGCTTTCAACGTTCAAATTCTTGGTGAAAGGGTCTTATGATAATATGTTAATGCATCAAAACGTACCATACCACCATACTTAACATTAACATAGAATGGAAACATTCTAATGGCTTCAAAATCCTTTTATTTCTTTGTCAATATTCTTGAGTCAAACATAGTATTTTTATACTAAACTGTGATTAATAAAGAGTTAAAAACGTTCTAAAAATGTGTAATTTTAGACTTAAATTTTGACAACTTTCCGGGGGGGGGGGGGGGGCACCACCTTGATAAGGGGTATTCCATGCCCCCCAAACCCCCCCGGTATTTTCACCCCCTCCCCGCCAAACGCCTAGCCCCCCCTTAAGCCTATCCTGGATCTGCCACTGCGGTACTACAACACTCACGGTGGAGGAAGACATATAGTTAAAGACATACATAGAGTTAGAAGATATAAATAATAATAATAATAATAATCTTTATTGTCATTCAGCAATATAAAATTACAATAGACAACGTTAGAAATCAGGACACAAATATGACATCATGCTTAAATCTATATCATCTTAAGAAGCATTGAACATTTTGTTGCATAAACTGTACATACAGGCCTAATATTTAAATTTAAAATTCTAAGATTGAATGCTCTAACACAAATTTATAAAAAACTTAAGTAAATAATGCTTCAAAACTAAACAATTTGTAAATATTCAGGAAATTTGTAAAAAGATTTTATAGATATATAGATATATATTTAAGATATATAGTTAAATAACTTCTTGATCAGCATCGTACATGTTATTAAATTACCTGAACCTACAAAAATATGTCAAATAACACTTGTAATAATATATTTACACTTTTACTGTTTATTCACAAGACAATAAATACATAATAGGATGGTAAGTGGTAATCAATTTCGCCTATTGGGTCTGATGATGATTGGAATGTCCAATCGATCACCACTTACCATCCTTTATGTATTCACCGTCTTGTGAGTATACATATGTATTCAGTATCAGTGTAAATACATTATTACAAGTGTTATTTGACGTATTTGTGTACTTTCAGGTTCATATAGTTAGCTTGAGTAAAAATTATCTAATTCTGATCCAATTTGGTACAAACTTGTAAACCAACCATTATTCCAATAGAGTTCACAAACTAGCACAATCTGAGTAAAACAAAATAACAGGTAGGTCTTTGAAAAAATTTTGGTTTTGTTCAATTTCAATCCTCACTAAGCCGTTTTAAAATTCTTCTGAAACTAATTGGTAGAGCCTATAGAGAAAATTACAAAAAAAAACTACATTTAATATTGTCATGTTATTCATATATGGAGAATAATTTACAAACTTGGTTCGAATGTTAATGGACGTTTATTGATTACATTTGGAAAAGTTTTTAAAAGAAAAGTCCTGTTTCTTATTTTACACTAAGCTAATACTCCACAGAAAAAACATTTATTGCCTCCATTAAAGCAGCAAACTTAAGTAATAGGCCTATTAAATTTAGGCCAAGGTATCTACCAGATTTCTCAAATGAAATTCCCGACTTTCTCCCGAATTTTCAAATTACTATTTTTTTTATCCCGACCAAAAACTTGGTCCATTCTCCATGTTACTATACACCTTTTTCCGTCTCGCGGTCACAGTACCTTCGTCAACAAGTTGTCATTCGCGACGCAGCGAAATCACCAACGATCGGAATGAATCACGTGCCGAGAAAATCCCTTATCAAATGTAGAGGTGTACAAAACAGCAAACAAATTTTTGCAAAGCAACGATTCGATTTAAAAAATTTTCAATTCGAAGCAACACAGAATAATTCTATTCATAGGCCTACTTTTCAATGGAGTGAATTATTTGTTTTCAATAAAATATTAGAAGAACCAGTATTGCTGTATATGTCAGTGAGCTGCTTGCCTATCTCATAATTTTTACTTGCATCATATTGTTAAGCATGTTACCAATTTTATTTTATTGATTTTACAAAAAATTATGTTTTGGTGTAAGCCTAAACAAATAAAAACCTTTGTAAGATTTATACTGAATCTTTCAATTGGTTTACATTGATAAAATAAGAGGATAGAATCAGGACTACAAGGTATACATAACTTGTATGGCTAAGCAATGTCTCAGTGATTGCCATGTACTTGAATGGTAATAACTTGTATGACTAAACAATGTCTCAGTGAATAACTGATATAATTAGCCTAATGTCAATAATTTGAATAATGTCAATAAGTTATATGGATACTGATAGTCAAAGTAACAGTAGGCCTATCAATGTAACATTCAACTACGTATATGAATACTGATTCAATAAATAATAATAATAATAAATCTTTATAGTCATTTGGTAATATTAACATTACAATAGACAAGGTCAACATATTTTGTTACATATGTTATATAAAATATTAAATAGGCTACAGAAAATGTTAAAATAAAGTTAAAATAATCTTAAAAGGATAAAGCATCAGTAATAATAACAAACTTTCAAATTAACAGGGAAAAGACCATAACAAGAACAAATAATCATCAAGACTGCTTGGCATCACATTTAAGAGTGGAAAAATCAACATTCTGCAAAAACTCCTCGACTGAATAAAAAGCACGACTTGTAAGCCAATCTGATAATTTTGACCTATACAAATGCATACTTTCCTGGTTTCTAAAATATATTGGAAGTTTATTAAATAGTTTTATTTGCAAATATTTGTAACTTTTGATAAATTCTGTTAGCCTGGCTTGAGGAATAGGTACATAAATCTTTTGATTGTCTGGTGATATACCCATGGATTGAGTTGCAAGGAACGAATTTATTTAGATTCACTTTAACGGAAACTAAATTGTTAAAAATGAAAATATTAGAGTGTCATTATTCTATTTTCAGCAAAAAATGCTTTGCAACTAACCCTATCTGGAATTTCAAACATAATTCTCAGAGTCTTCTTTTGCCATGTAAAGACCCGGTGAGCTCCTGAGCTATTACCCCACAGTATATTGCCATACAGCAAGTGTGAGTGAAATAAACTGTGGTAAACAATTATAAGTGATGGTTTAGAAACACAATTTTTAAGTTTTCTTATCAAACAACATACTCTTGACAATTTTGAAAATATATTATTGATATGTATTCCCAAGTGAGTTTAGAGTCTATGGATATTCCAAGTAGTTTAACTGAAACTGCATTGTCTGCTTCAAGATTACGCAACGTAAAACAAATTTTTTCTGTTTTATCATGATTTATTTCAAGAAAATTACTTTCAAACCACAGCTTACCCAATTCAATGGTGTTTTCTGCTTTGATTTGCAGAGTGAAAGTGATCTATACCATATATAGATACTGATTGAATAACGTATGGATGGATACTGATTCAAAAACGTAGGATGGATACGGATTCAATAACGTATATGGATACGGGTTCAATAACGTATACGGATACTGATTCAATAACTTATATGGATACTGGTTCAATACTTATTCAATAACGTATATAGATACTGATTCAATAACGTATATATGGACACAGATTCAATAACGTTTATGGATACGGATTCAATAACGTACATATAGATACGGGTTAGAGGATTCAATAACGTATATAGATACTGACTCCCCATGATTCGAATCATTATTTGGACCATCACTGAATCAAATCGGAATTCGATGCATCGCACACCCCTCAAATGTAATCCCGTCCCTATGATCGGAAATACACGATCCAGAAAACTTTTTCAAAGTTTTAGGACCTGTTTATCCCTAGTTTTGAAAGGTTAGTTTATTCCCGACCTTCGGCCGAAATTCATATACTTTTTCACGACTTTTCCCAACCTTTCGAAATCCCCGACTTTTTCCTGAATTTCCCGACTGGTAGTCACCCTGTAGGCTAGCTTTTAATACTAATTAGGCTAACTTATAAGTTACCTGTTTGTGTAGGGATCTTTCATCACGACCAAATCAACAATGTCACCCCAACGCTCAAAATAGGCTTCAAGGGTTTCTTCAGTTGTGCCATAATCCAAACCTCCAATAAATATTTTCCGCACCTGTTCAGGTTCCAAATCCATGTCCTGGAAGCAAATTGACCTTATTTAAATAACCTAACTAAATTTAGCCTTAGTTAACTTATTCCTGCAAATTCAACATAAATGTGCATCAGTTGTATTGGATGCATTGCACGACGTCCAAGTGCCACGACGTCCAATAACATTTATTCAGTGCCACGACGTCCAAAACATAATTTTTGAGTTGTTGCACGACGTCCAAAGCTTGTAGAAAGACTATATCTCGTGTAAAATGCTTATGGAACCTTTATTAGTTATATATAAATGGGTATATGTTCTTGTTCAGAAATATATATACTATGAATATTTGTACCATTAATTGAAACATCATAAAGTAAAAAAAAACATAAAAAGAAAAAAATAAACAAGGCAACAGTTGGAAAACTATAAGGTTTACATGGTTTGAAAAATGATGACGTTTTGTTAACAACCGATAAACTTCATTATGTTTGGAGTAAGCTTTTAAATACTTATTTTTTCAAGACTAGATGAATGTACATTGGTCAACATGATCTTTGAAAACTATTTTTTATACCCTCATTTTAATTTTTACTAGTATAAAGAATAGAATGTCTTTTTCTAACTGTTTTTTAGGCTTCAATTAAATGTTCTTATGCCGCAAATATGTTTATTAATAGTATTCACTTAACATTGACTTAATTTTATTTCAATAAATTTTGTGTTTGTGTTTTGCTACACCACTGCAACAAAAAAACCCCCAAAATTTAAATTGATTTAATTTAAATTGCAACCAATGAGAATAAGTATATAAATAAGTTGTACACAGGGTTATTTTGTTTCCCCAACTCTAAAATACAACGCACATGAATTGAAAATGTTAAAGGTTTTAATAGTACTGTAGCAAATCGAATATCAATAAAGTTAACGTATAACAATAAATTTACATATCCTAGATTATAATTGCATGTGTTTACGAAGGAACAACACAGCCTCAAAATTCAATATTACAGTATATTTACTCAAGATTTATTGTTTTCATATAGCACAGTTGATGTTGCCAACTAGCGTGGGAGCGGAAGTCCTGATAAAGGCAGGTTCTCGGAAAAGTAATAAACTTGTAGTTTGAATGAAACATTTTTTTATTTTGTACAGGATTCATGGGATCCTCAGCATAAAGTACAAACCACATACAAACTGCAAAATGTGTGTCGAAGGTCTGATTAGACCTTCCGAGATTTAGACCTTCAGCAACTGATCCGTTTTTACCTTCCTTTAATTTATTTTTTTTCATGTTGTGCTTCATGTAACATACATAGACTAGAGGGCCGCTCATGCCCTTGACAAATAAATTAACATTTTCGCACAAATACAAATCAATATTGTCATTAGACAAGAATTCAAAAATATAATTTATAAACAAAACCTATTACGGTATATTCTTACAAGTATGCCTACAAACCTACGATAAGCAGGTTTGTTATTATTATACTTAACCTACAATTGCTATGACTTAGGGCATACCTGCTTTCCTAAATAAAATATCCGAACTAATTGCGAGTGCAACGTGAACTTAGAAAAAGACTAGTAAGATTTTACAACTGTGAATTTCTCAGAATTGATTGACTGTTCAGACGAACCTATGGCCACAGACTACGGAAACCTACAGTATTATTGTATTAGTATACTGTATTTGTATTATTGTGTTACTAGCAGAGTGCCCGTCCTTCGTACGGGGTTGGCATATAAGTGTAAATGCTTATTGCAGTTATGGGAGAGGACACGATTTAAAAAAAATTGGTCTTTTTAATTTATACGGTCTTACCACTGCACCTAAACCATAGAAAAAAGTAAAGTTCTCATTGTGTACCACAACTTTTTTTTTGCTAGTTGGTTCAAATTAGCTGTGGTCATTAATGCAAACTAACAACATAATAGTGCTGCACCCTGTTTGGCAAGCCATAACTTTTTAATGCTGTTTAATATCATAGAACCAACTTGTACAGTTGAAACGGCTGACAAAATTCTTTAATTTCTTTAAATATGAATACTCATAAGGTTAACATGAGAAAGTCCAGAGCCAGAGCCACCGGGGCGGAGACTGAAAGAATTTTTGAGGTAAGAATATGTTAATCGGGGATGTCATCTATCATCATACCAAATTTCAACCTTGTCGGTTTAGTATTTTTCGCGTTTGCTTGTCACAAACATCCATCCATCCATCCATCCATGGTTTGCACTGTAAACATAAAACTATCACAATAGTTCCAAACCGACAAATAGAAAAATAGGAAAATATAAATAAATATGGAAAATAGGGTAATTTTCTAACATATTTTAGTGAAATTATATAATCAGGCAAATGGAAATTCAGTCTACAGATTTGATGTGGCAGGGGATTATATTACGGTTTACACAAAAATAAATCAAAATTCAAAACATAAACCTCATAACACTCAGGAAAAGGGCCTAGGGTGATAGGGCAACGATTATAGAATCTAAATTATTTCCTATATCCATGATGAATGATTTCTTTTAAAACAAATTATTCCCTGTAAAATATTATTACAGCATTTCACAAAAATAGAACAGACTCAGTATAATAGATCATAAACATAAACAAATGAAGTAACTAAAAGAATCATATCATATACTAATTAAATTACATTAACATATGGTTTGACAGCTACATTTAAGTAATGTAAAATAATGTTTACATTCGGGCTAGTAACATCATTATTTTAAATTTATAATCCTTACCCTCTCTGTTCTAATATTCGTGCATTATTTAATATGTTTTAACCAGCTGTGTGGAATTGTGAAATCAAAATTCATTTGACAGTTAGTTAGTTCTGGTTGTTTACATTTTTAAATTTAAATTAGGTGAACCAACATATTGGCCCTCTGATCGTCAAAAAATACCAGACCTTCTTGATTTTTTCGTTACGAAAGGTGTATCCCGAGATTGTGTGACAATCGAGCAATCTCTGGACCTTTCCTCAGACCACTCACCTGTAATTTTAACGATCGCTTCAACTGTTGTATTCAAACCTATTCCACCACATTTATGTAACAAAAATACAGATTGGAATTATTTTCGTGAATTAATGGATCAAAGTTTAAAGATTTCTGTGTGTTTGAAGAGCGAAGAAGATTTGAATCTTGCTGTTGAACATTTCAACAAAACAGTTCAAGACTCCACTTGGAGAGCAACTCCAGACCAGAATAAACTTAATATAAAATCAGGAATAAGCTATCCAATTGAAATTAATAGGAAAATTGCCGAAAAACGCCGACTCCGTAGAATATGGCAAAACTCTAGAGATCAGACGGATAAAAGAAATCTAAAAAGGGCCACTCAACAACTAAAAAGGTTACTGTTTAAATTAAACAATGACAGATTTCAAGATTTCACATCAAACTTTTCTCCATCTGAAGCTAGTGACTACTCCCTTTGGAAAGTTACAAAAAACTTAAAACGTCCACAAATTTGCATTCCACCTATTCTAAAAGAAGACGGTTCTTGGGCCAAAAACAACATCGAGAAAGCAGATGTCTTTGCTTCATTCTTCAAAGAAGTGTTCAAACCATATAATATAAATTCAAATGTTGAACAAGAAATTTTGGAATTCCTCGATTCTCCAAATCAACTTGATTTACCGATAAAATTGTTTACACCATCCGAAGTAGCTAAAGTAATCAAATAGATTTAAACGGCAAAAAAGCCTCCGGTTATGATCTGATAACAGGTAAAGTGTTGAAAGAGCTGTCTAGAAAAGGAATAGTATTCCTTACAGTACTTTTCAATGCAGTTTTACGCCTCGAATACTTCCCAATACAGTGGAAGGTTTCACAAATTGTTGTTATTCCGAAACCTGGTAAACCTTTAAATCAAGCATCCTCGTATTGGCCTATATCTCTTCTTCTTGTGGTTTCAAAAGTTTTTGAAAAACTTTTTTAAAAAGACTCCAAATTATAATTGACGAAAAAGAATTGTTGCCTTCCCATCAGTTTGGATTCCGCCGAAAGCATTCCACCATTGAGCAAGTGCATAGAATAGTGAATGTAATCAAGGAAGATCTTGAAAATAAATGTTTTTGTTCATCTGCTTTTTGGACGTAGCCCAGGCGTTTGATAAAGTCTGGCACACAGGACTATTGTTCAAAATTAAAACTTTGCTGCCCCATACACACTATGGAGTGTTGAATTCGAAACTTTTTCTCCACTAATTTGAGAGAACGTCTGGGCGTAGAAACTTGATAGAGGTGTCCAAAGAAAGGTCTTGGTCTGTAGATGAATTATCAAAAGATAAACGAAGTAAATTCGCTTAGGGCTCTGCCCCAGAAGCCTTTAAAGATCCCTCGACAGCTTTGTTTACATTTTGGCCATATAATACTTTTTAATGAAACAGCTGTTAATTTTTAAATTGTGTTTTAAACAGCACACATTTATTGGGAGTTACTGAGTTGTCCAGAAGAAGTATTTGCAATGTTATTTTCTGATTTTAAAATTTATTTTCTTCTGTATCATGTCATATTTTGCAATATAACTAGGGATGGACGAGATTGGATTTTTAGTTCGAGACGAGACGAGACGAGATTTTTTATTTCTCATAAAATTTCGAGACGAGATTTCCCTTCTCATACACAACGGGAAATGCACGTTCAAAATTTTTACCTGATTTTGTAACATTGTTAGATGACTGTTTAAATACAAAAATAATGATAATAGGCAAGAATATTTACAATCTTTTATTAAAAAACATCAGCATAACATTTTTTTATTAATCACGCCTAACTTATTAAAAATGCCTACGATTAGGAAACATAGTGATATCAGTTAGGATAGAGTTCAACTTATCCTAAAATAAAATAAATCATAAAATAAAAGCAATATTAATTTTTATAAAATAGTTACTTGTTTTGACTTGTTATAGTAATAAAACATTCCTCACACTGCTTACACTTTACAAAACTTCTCAAATGTTATTAATGTAATATTATTAAAATAATTAAAGTAATATTTACATTTAAAGAATTAATTAAATA